TTTAAAAGTCCACTAATTTTATTTTTCAAATTGGGACGGATATCTTTTTCGCCGCAAAATTTCGCAACATTTTTGAATTTTGAATTTATAAAAGCTCATTAATTTTATTTTTCAAATTGCAATAGCAAATTTTCGTCGCAATTTGAGACAAATATATTTTATGTCACAAAATTGCGCAATATTTTTTATTGTCAGTTGCCTATATTTTTTATTCCATCGCAAAGTACAATTGGAATATCGTCGCAAAATTTGTCACAAATCATACCTGATAATACTGTTGCAAATTTTCCGTTGTAAAATTTTTCGTCGTAAACACTCGCCGCAAGTTTTTCATTTTTGCGACCGAATTAATTTCCATCACAATTTTCTATGATAATGCGACGGAATTTGCGTCCAATTTTTTAGTGACCAAAATTTTGACATATTTTCGTTCAAATTGTGGCGATTGATTTTTTGTAGCGATTTGCGACAGTTTATTTTTCGTCTCGAATTACTGTCCCAATTTCAGCATAAATGATTGAATATTGTGAATATGGGCCTACTTAAATGAAACTTGAGTTAGTGTTATTGATAATTTATTATTACGCCTACTAGCACGACATTTAAAAAATTGTGCTTAATAATAATTCAACAAAAAAGAAAAGAAAAAGGCATAACTAAAATAAGGATCCATTCAGTCTATATTCAAACATCTTTCAATATTGCAAATTTAAATAAGTATGAATATAATACTTGAAAATTGTTGTATATTGATATTGAAAAAGTTTTAGAAGAAAGAGAGACAAATCTCGTGAATACAAACCTACTTAAAATGACACAAACTATTTATTTGGGATTCTCAAAGGCAATGTTCAGTAACACGGAAATATAAATATCATGAATATGAAACTACTTAGATGAAACATGAGTAGATGAATGATTGAATCTCATGAGTTTGAGTCCACTTAAATGAAACTTTTTTTAGTTTTAATAATTACTTTTAATTATTACAAAAAATTCATATTGGCACAAAATTTGATAACCCATACTTTACATAAAAAATGATTTAAAATAATAGTTCACCAAAAATAAAAGAAAAAGGAATAAATAAAATAAAGATCCATTCAATCTATATCAAAACCTCTTTCCATGTTGTAAAGATAAAGAAGTATGAATATAATATTTGAAAATTTTACATAGATCTTGAAAATGTTTCAGAAGAAGGAAAAATGAATATCATGAATACAAATCAACTTAAATGACTCGAGCTATTTATTTTGGATTTCCATTAACACGACAATATAAATCTCATGAATATGGAACTACTTAAATGAAACTCGAGCTAATGTCAATGGCCTCGACGATTTGATTATTTTGAATTCTTGTAGAAAATGCTTGTTAGCATAAAATTTAACAAAAATCACTTCTTTCTTTAAATTTTTTTTCATTTCTTTCAATGCTTACATGCAATGAGAATAATTCTAAACAAGCGTAAATGTGCCTTTGACTTTTAGCTTAACTCGTTTTCATTTCTTTCAATGCTTATCTCGTGAACATGAGCCCAATTGAATGAAACTTGAGTTACTGTGAGCGTTATCTTTGAAAAAAAATTCATATTGAACACGAAAAAATTCAAGAATAAATAAAAATGAGTCTCGTGAATATAAATATACTTAAATGAAATTGAGTTGGATTTAATGATCTATTTATTTTGTAAACGTTATCTTTGAAATTTGTTTCATATTGATCACGAAAAAATCCAAGAAGGAAGAAAGACGAGTATGGTGAATATGAGTCCACTTAAATGAAATTGAGTTGGATTTCATGATCATTTTATTTTGGATTGATCTTATAGGCAAACATCCCTTAGCACAAAAGATATGAATCTCGTGAATATAGGTGAATGAATAAATATCACGAATATGGGTGCACTTAAATAAAACTTGAATTTTTTATTATTATAAAAACTTCCAATTAGCACGACATTTAATAAACCATTCTTTATATAAAAAATGATTGAAGAGAATAATTCACCAAAAAAGAAAAAAAAAGGCATAACTAAAATAAAGATTCATTCAATCTATATCACAATCTTTTTTCAGTATATTTAAAGATGTAAGAATATAATATTTGAAAATTGTTGCATATAAATTTTAAAAAGTTCTAGAAGAAAGAGAGATGAACCTCATGAATATGGACCTACTTGCTTAGTACATAAATGAAAATCAAGTCGGTTATTTTGGATTCTTATAGGCAAATGTCTGTTAGCACAAACATATAAATCTCATGAATATAGACCTACTTAAATGAAACTTGAGTTAGTGTCATTGATCTAAGTGATCTATAATGAGAATAATTCAAAATAAATGTAAATGTTCCTTTTACTTTTAGCCTAACTCATTTTGGATTCTCATAGGCAAAGTCCATTAACACGAACATATAAATCTTGTGAATACGGAACTACTTAAATGAAACTTGATTTGATGTTAATGGTCTGAGTGATTTGATTATTTTAAATTCTTGTAGAAAATGCCCTTTAGAATGAAAATTAACAAAATTTACTCTCTCTTTTATTTTACATGTAATGAGAATAATTCAAATTAAGTGTAAATGTTCCTTTGACTTTTAACGTAACTCATTTTCATTTCTTTCAATGCTTATCCCGTGAATATGAACTCAATTGAAAGAAACTTGAGTTATTACGAACGTTATCTTTGAAATTTGTTTCATATTGATATGGAAATAGTTCAAAAATAAACAAAAATGTGAATATAAATCTAATTAAATGAAACTGAGTTGGATTTAATGATTTATTTATTTTGGATTCTCATGGGCAAACACCCCTTGGCACAAAAGGGGTGAATTTCGAACCCGCCTCGAATCGAATTAACCGCGAAGCGATGAACTGATTGAAATATTTCCAAAAAAAAATGAGTGAATCTCATGAATATAAGTGAATGAATCAATGTCAAAAATATAGGTCTACTTAAATGAAACTTGTGTTAACTTTAGTAAAAAAAATTATTATTATAAAAAATGATTATTCTCACTAAATTTATTAGTCCATATCTATAAAAGGAAAAAATATTATCATTTTAAATGACACAATTTTATGTTACTTTAAGTAAAACGACGATATTTTGGTGAGATTTTATCTTCTTTCTCCTCCACAATACTCTCTTTTCCTCTCTCTTCATGATTTTGTGGAGGAGAAAGAATATAAAAATCACCAAATTTACATTAAAACACATTCATTTCATTTAAAATAAAATAAAATTGTGTCATTTAAACTTGAAAAGAATAATTCACCAAAAATGAAAGAAAAAACCATAACTAATTTAATGATTCATCCCGTCTATATTACAATCATTTTTTTTTATATATTTGGATGTTGCAAATTTAAAAAAGTATAAATATAGGGAAAAGTATTTGTCATTTTAAATGACATAAAGTTATGTCATTTTAAGAGAGATAGAGACAAAATAATTTTTTATTTAAAATTTAAATTAAAAAAATCACCCACTTTCTCTCTCCCATGATTTCTATTTTTTGTGTCTATCCCTCTCCTAAAATGACATAACTTATGTCATTTAAAATGACAAACACCAAACCCATAAATATAATATATGAAAATTATTGCATATAAATCTAGAAATTTTTTTAAAATAATGGACTTACTTAAATGAAACTCGAGCGGGTTATTTTGGATTTATGGGCAAAACGTCCATTAACACCAATAGACAAATCTCATATAAATATAAGCATACTTAATTGAAACTCCAGTTAATTTTAAACGTTGCCGAGTGTGAATATTTGAATCTCATGAAAGTGAACTACTTAAATGAAACTTCAGTAAGTGTTAGTGATTTGAATCTGAGTGATCTAATTATTTTGAATTCTTATAGAAAACGCCCGTTAACATGAAATTTAACATAATGTATTTGTTTCTTTAACTTTTTCATTTCTTTCAATGCTTACCTGTGATGAAAATAATTCAAAACTAACGTAAATGTTCCTTTGACTTTTAGCCTGATTTTTTTTTCATTTCTTCCAATGCTTATTAGTATCATAATTCTTTTTTGGTATATTTTTTGTTTCAAATTTTAAAAAATATGAACATTATTATCTTTGAAATTTATTTCATATTGATCTCGAAAAAGTTCAAAAAAAAAATAAAAAAAAATTGAGTGTCGTGAATATGTATCCACTTAAATGAATCTCAATTAGATTTAGTAATTTATTTATTCTCAGTTCCTATATGCAAACACAGAAACACTCATTAGCACAAAAGGATGAAACTCCTGAACAGAAGCAAATAAATATGGGTACACTTCATTCTTATAAAAAGATATCTATTAACACGAAATTTAATAAAACATTCTTTAAAATTAAAAATTGTAAAATTTATTACTCCTTCAAAATTAAAAAATTAATATGATAAATATTTTTTATTATACAATTACAATCCTCTTTGAATAATAGTTTTTATTACTAATTCACAAAAAATATTTTTTTATTACTTATATTTTATCTAAATAAAAAAATATGAACTCACATATCATTTAACAAATATTAAATGCATCAATAAATAGCAACTCATAATAATAATAAAAAGAGTAAATACCTTTTTGGTGCTCAGCAAATTTTACGATGCCCGATTTAGTCAAATAAAAAGGCCCATTGTGGTCCTTAAGAAATTCAAAATGGACCAATTTAGTTGAGATCGTGGTCCCTCACAATTTCAAAAAAACCCATATTAAAATAGGTTCATTTTGTATTTCTTAAATAACACGATCAGCCTTTTAATTTGTTAGGGACTAAAAAGAGCCATCGTAATAAAAAAAATAAAACTAAAGGAGTACTAAAATGAACGTCTCTCCAAAGGAAAGGAAGGTAGGAAATTAGAATTAAAAAGATAAAGAGAGGGGACTGATCCGGTGTTCTTCACCGGTGACCAAAGACAGTAACAGCCATTACCACCACCAGTTGCTGTTACAGTGAACTAACAGCCACCGCTACAAATGCAGAATCCAGGGGAGCAGGGTAAAGCGCCACTCAGAATAACTGACATGGAACAGCCACCCCGCCGCATGCGACGGAGCCGTGGTTTCCTTGCTGGATTCAGGAATCCTGAGCCTCAACAGTACCACCACCAACGACAACGACAGCAACAAGTAAACGAACTACAAACGCGGGTGACTCAACTCATGGACTTCGACAAGGCCTATTTCGATCAATACGCTCACCTTAGCGTCCATGAAGAGATGCTCAAGGTTTTCTGGATTTCAGTGTTGCCTTGCATTCTCTCATTTCAGCATTTCCATTCTTCACATAATCTAATTATGTTGTCTGTTTAAGATTGTTTTTTTCTTCTTCTTTTTCTACATAGGTTGGACTGGAATGCTGACATCATGTTTTGTTTTGTTTTTCTTTCTTTTCTTGCCCTGTCTGGCATAGGATCGTGTGCGGACGGAGGCATATAAAGCTGCAATCATGCATCATCAGGCTTTTATTTCAGGCAAAGTAATTCAGCTAACTTCAAAAACTGAATTTTTTTTGCTCTTTATTTTTCTGCCTAAAGGGTGATCATGTGCATTCAGGTTGTACTTGATGTTGGATGCGGTACTGGCATCCTTTCTATATTTTGTGCTCAGGCTGGTGCAAAGCGGGTAAGATCTTTCGACATAAATTGCTAATGGAAAAATTGTTTATCCTTTTAAATTATATAACTTATATTTTTTTACTTTCATAAAGAGGTGGGATCCACGCCTTTATATTTTTTGTCCACTCTTTCTTTTCCTTTGTCTATTTTATCTATCTCTTTCTCTCACTTAAATTGAGACAACTTTACATCCTTTAAAATGATACACACTTATCCCTCGCTAATATTCATATAATTGATGTGTGAGTAATTAATTATTATTTTATAAAAGTAATGTTGTTTTCTCTCCTCATACTGTATTGCATGAATTTTTGTTTGTCCTGCAGCAATCTATTTGGATTTTCTGAGCGTACCTTCAAACATTTCCTGTTGGTGTCTCGATACATATGTTTTGGCCATAATTCTGTGACAGTGTTTATGCAATTCTTTGGTGCACTTGGTTGGAACATCCACGTATGGATGAGATTTTTTTTTTTCAATTTCTTTTTTTTATAAAAAAAATATTTCTGGCAATAAATGAGTTTTTGAATACGGAGATTTTAAAAAATTAAGCTTAAAATTTAATTTTTTAAATCAAAATTTCTAATTTATTTTTAAGAAAATCAAACGTCAAATACTTTTAATAAATTTAAATTTACCCAACCCCATATTAACTCCACCATTTTCGTCACCATTTGCATCACCACCACCGCAATTGTCGTTATCACCACCTCCATCCAATTTTCACCACCACCAAATCTTGTTTTCAAGATTTATTTTTATATATTCTTTTTAATAATTCTACATATATATAATTATTTTTAAAATTTTGACATAGAAACACTTTTTTGACATAAGTGTTATATCCAAATATAAAATAATTTTAATTTTAAATAAAATCTTTTTAAAAAAGTAATTTTGACATAAAAAATTATTTTTTTCAATAATCATCAGCATGTGTGGAAAAATTTTACAATACTTCTATCTCACCCAATTTTTCATACATTCCTCCAATAAAACCAAACACCAATACTAATTGATGACATGGAAGATAGAAAAATATTATCTTAAATACATGTATTTGATTGTGAATGGCAGTAGTACGTATTACTGTCAGAATTAAAAATGAGCTCGCATGTGTGATGCTATATTATTGTTAGAGTAATTTAACATAAAAGAAAAATTGCTGTTCGTCGATTCTTCTTTCGTTTTTGCTGGATCTGACATATTATTTTTGTGTTCATTTTTTTTAATGACATTTTAAAAAAATTTATCTAATGTTCACTGAAACGACATCGTTTTGAGACAGAAATCATGATGTGTTTGTAATTTTAATTTATTACAAAATTATAATAGTCTTTATTATTTTAATTTTTTAATCTTTCAACCCAAAATTACGTTGTTTAGTTGAATATTAGACAACGTTTTTTAAAGTAACATTGGATTCTTTATTCCCATTATTTTTTTAGTTTGCTTTTTTGAGTTTGTAGTTGTTTAAGTCAGGTTTTGTACTAACATTGTATTGATTTTTAGCATCCTTTTATCGATTATATAATATGGAGGTGTATTAATGCTGGCCCGATTTTTTTGTTTTTTCTTTATAGAATTTTTCTCTGTTATTTTTGTTTTATTTTCGAATTTTGTTATCTTGATTTGAGTAATTCTGTCGAAAGATTGTGGTCGCTGACCTTAATCTTTGGGGTGAAATCTTACTGTATAATTTTTTGGCATTTGGTGTGCACTACATTGTGAAATGCTTGTCATGCCAGGTGTATGCAGTTGAAGCAAGCAACATTGCTCTGCAGGTAATTAATCATCCTTAAATCGAAGTTTTCATTATTAATTTTGGCTGTGCCATTGATTAGTTTTGGTATTCATTGTTTGTTTGTTTGTTTTTCAACTTAGTAAGCATATTCACAAGAATTAATTCTATTGAAACTTTAAAATACTAGATGAAGACAAAAGATTAATTTTGTATCTCTTTTTTTCTTTTCTTTTTTTGGTAAGCGATTAATTTTGTATCTCTAACATGTCCCTTTTTAAGAACCTTTTCGGCTCGAAGGATAATAATATACAAGCTGACTATACTTTGTGCTGAAATTCAAATATGTTTAGAAGAATGGAAACGACCAAATTTGGTCATAGAGGTTGTGTTTTCAAAGACCAACTCTCCTTAAAGTTTAAATTATTAGATAAAAACTCAAAATTAATTTTATATCTTTAACATATAATTTTGGCATAACAAGTTAATGGATTTTATAAGAGTTATGTTGTAGGAAAAGTGATTGTGTAATGTTATAGAGATTCGTTCTGCGTGTCATAGTTTTTTTTTTTTCTTTAAAAAGTGTGGGCTCCACAAAATATTGTGTGCGTAGGAAAGTTTTTCTAATCATGTTAAAGGACAAACTAAAACCCCTAAGTTAATACACATCTTTGTGATGGATACATTTTTTTTTTTTTTTTTTTTTGTGTAAACAAAGAGGGGCAAAAACCCTAGAAACACAAGAAAATCAAAGAGCAGAGGCCAGAGCCCCAAAGTTGGAAGAGTCCTCTAACAGAAGATCCCTAAGATGGGAGGGGGGATAGGAGAAAACAAAAAAATTACTATCTCCTTCACAAGGATTAGTAGCAATCCAATGAGTACATCTATTATTCTCCCTCTTTGTATGCTTGCACTTGACATTCCAATCTTGAAGAAGCCAAACCTTTATGCGCTCAACAACCTGAGAATCTCTAGAATTTGAATCCAAATTTTGGATACAACTAATGGCGTCTGTTGAATCACACTCCAATTCAATTCTCCTTGCACCTGCTCCAAGCCTTTAAGAATTCCCCACAACTCAGCATCAAGAGGATTCATATAGCCAAGCTTGAACTTAAACCCACCAAGGAAAGACCCTAAATGATCTCTCATAAGACCTCCACAACTAGCGCTCTACTTAGAAAGAGAAGAAGCTCCATCAGTATTAATCTTCAACCAACCTTGATCAGGGGGATTCCACTCACTCGTCTGACTGCTAGGGATAATACTGCTACGCATCTTCTTGCTTTCCCTAGCAACAACAACTTAGTTTATAAAATCAAATATTATAATATTACCTCTAAAAGGCCTGCAAAAATTCACATCATGAACACTCCGATTTCTCCAAATCCACAAGTACCAACACGTTGGAAAGAAAGTATCTCTCCAATCATATTGCATATACCGGTTCTAAGAACTATAGACATTTTTGATAAGCCAATCATTTAAATCCAAAGTGAAAAAAATCATGGGGCAAATTAACACCAAACCTGTCCCTCCAAACTTTTTGTGCATGTCTGCAATCTCTCAAAACATGAAGGATGGTTTCTTCCTTATTGACACAACTGTTACAAACATTAGTCCCTCCATTCCAATGGCACGTCCGACTCCTCACAGAGAGCCTATTTAACAAAATCAACCACACAGTAGTTTTGATTCTCTGAGGACCTTTCCAACCACATAGTAGTATCAATAGGTATCGTATCTGAATTGCATCCCAATTTACAATTCAAAATTCAACCTAAGAATTGTAATTTTAAATTTGCGATTCAAATTAAAAAAACGAATTTGAAAAGTCAATGGGATTAGGGAAACAGAGTCATGAGATTCAAATTAATCCAAATCACTACACCCAAATAAAAAATTTAATACAAATTTGATAAAAACAGAGATGTGCGGAAGAAAAGAGAGAGTCTCTTATAAAAGTTTCCAAACTACATTCAGCCGGCCAGGGAGTTGCTCAAGAAAAATTTTCCTAGAAAAGTTTCCAGAAATGTTCAAAATGAAACAGAAACTTTTAGGAAAACACAAAAACAGACTCATATATTTTTAAATCATTTTTCATTATATTTTTGAATTTTAGATCGAAATGATTATTCATGATTAAAAAAAAAACAGAATAATTCACTATCCTTGTTCCAATTCAACAACTTTGAACACATTTTAGAGTGGATATTCTAAAATTTTATATTATCTATTAAATTTCATTGGTCATGTGAAATTTTGTATCTATTTCTCTCTTCGCATATATTAAGAGTCTGTTTGGATCATTTCTTTTTTTAAACTAAAAGCTACTTATAAGTTAAAGTTAAAAATAAGAGCTTAAAAAAAAGCTAAAAACTATTTGGTAATTACATAAAAAAATTTAGGGGTGTTCGCGGTCTGGATTGAATCGGTTTTTGAATCAAAAATCATCTAATCCAATACCTTCGGTTTGATCATTTAATCATCCATTCAGTTTGGATTTTTTTTTCAAATCCGATCCGATCCAATCCAATTTTTGTCGGTTTGGATTAGATCGATTTTCGGTTTTTTTGAAAATCCTAAAATTTGTTTCATGATTATTGTGTAAATAACATCTTTTGTATATATTAGCTTTGTAAATTATTATTTTTTGAAATACAAAAGCATCAGTAAACAATAATATAATTTTTTTTTTAGCAATGAGATATGAAGCTCTACACAGATGAAATTTTGTTGATGAGATGTGATTAGGTTTTTTCTGGGATGTAGTTGACGGATTAACATGTCTTGGGTTTAGAAATTTTTGGGCTATGATTGGGGAAAAACTAAGTAGGTAGAGGAAAATTAATATATTGGATCGGTTTGGATTAGATCGATTTTCAATAACACATCCGAAAACCGATCCAATCCAATTAAAATTTGCGGTTTTTTTCGGTTTTCGGTTATCGATTTTTCGATTCGGTCAGGTTTGGATATGAACACCCCTAAAAATTTTAGCTTAAAAGTACATATTTCAAAAAAATTATCTCTCTCTATCTTTATAACTCTATATTAAAAAAAAAAGCACACAATTCAAGAAAAGTAGATAAGAGCTTAAAAAAAAATTCCTCCTAAGAGTTTTTAACTTTTAACTTTTTTCTTTATTATAAAGAAAAAAAATTTTAGTTATAAGAGTTTTTTCCAAAATTTATTTGACCTAATTTAGCTTAAAAATAAGAGTATCCCACTAAATAAGTGTGGTCAATTATCACTGATAAAAAAAGAGATAGACGTACAAATTCTATATCAACAAATCTTTGAAATTTTAACATCGGAGAATTCATTCCACACGCCAGTACTTTCTTTTTTGGTGGAAAGCACTTCACAGTTTGAGCTCTTGGTTTCAAATTAACTTTTTTTTCCCCTTTGTGCAAGCAGGCTAGAAGGGTAGTTGAAGCAAATAATCTTTCAAATGTTGTCATTGTATTGCATGGACGAGTTGAGGTAGGCTACTTTACCAGTATTTTTTTTTTGGTAGAGACTTTACCAGTATGTTTTAATCTCTGAAATGGTTGCTATAATTTTCAATTTTAGATTATGATGGTCAAAGTATTGACCTGGTGTTCGGCAAATACAATGACCATACCTTTTGGATACGTGATCCAAAATTAGATTTTGAGATTTTTGTTCGTTAATTATATTGCGCGATTTTTATATTGAAATGACAGGGTAATGAATTCCCATCCAACCTCTCTAAATGAATCTAGAAAAGAATAATAGCAACCGCATGACTGTTGATTGAAACATATAGGAAGATTCTTTTTGGTGTTAACATCCTTCCAAATGTAAGGTGTGTGAGCATAGGAAATGTTCTTGTGAGCACTTTCTTTGTGAGTTTGGATTGGTAGAGGAAAGTGTAAAGAACCTTAGGATACACCACCGCAAAAGTTAGCTCAAAGGGTGGGAGTGCCCAAGACCTTATAAAGGTCCACATTAGTTGCACAACACCCTCTCACACGAGAGCCCATTGGGCTTGAAGAGTGGACAATGCAACAGGCCCAGCCTACCAGTGCTAAGAAACGCCACAAGAGAAGGTGGGGGGCGGCGAGGCTCTAATACCATGTAAAGAACCTTGGGATACACCACCCCAAAAGCTAGCTCAAAGGGTGGGAGTACCCAAGACCTTATAAACTCCACATTAGTTGCACATACAACCAGTCTTTACAAATTTTCTGTCAGGAAAACCAATTCCTGGATTAAATAGGAGGAGGGTTGTTCAATTCATATAATTGTAATTTGTAAAGAAACCTGATTAAATTTCCCTGCCTCATAGTTTATTTAGATACATCTGCCTCTGTCACTGTATTTTCTTCTCTTTACTCTCTAGTCATATTTCTCCACAATATTTATGTTTTTTGTTAAATTTATATATTGCTTTCTGATCTACTTGTATATTTTCTAATAGTAACCAGTTGTTTCGCTCTTCATCTATTTACTTAGTTATGGTGTCTGCAGGATCTTGAACTCAGTGAAAAGGTTGATGTTATAATTTCAGAATGGATGGGTTATATGCTTCTATATGAGGTGCTTATTAGGATTCTTGTGGTTGATTGAATAGATATATATTTTTTATAGATGAATGTTGAAAAACATTGTCAAATTAGTGGTGGAACTGGAAAACCAGAAAATTAACTCTGGAGGGGCAAAACTGATAGTTTAAAAAATTAGATGAATTGAAACAAAAAAATATACCATCACTAGGGGTGAAAAAAAAAAAAAAAAATATATATATATATATATATATAAAGACTTACAATTCAGTTGTGTTTACAAACAATTAAGTGGAGAAAGGACTACCAATAAAACCATTTCCCATTGCACAAAACAAAGTAGAAACCAAACATTAATACAATGAAACCCTCAAATCCTATTAAACATTGGACAAAGAAACCCCCTGAAGAATTCATTGGTTCAGCAACAGAAAGACAGCCCCATGTCTTTATTGTCATAAAAATATTTTAAAGTGAGAACAGTGACACGACCTTAAGTTTCTCAGCTTTTTACAGTACATCTGCCTTTATAATTTATATTGGTTTAAAGACTTTACTTTTTTTGTAGAGCATGCTTGGAAGTGTTATCACTGCCAGAAATCGCTGGCTCAAACGTGGAGGTCTAATTCTTCCTTCAATTGCAAGGGTATAATTTTTTTGTCAATAAATATATAATAATTTAAAGTTAATTTCCCTTCTTCACAGTTGTTTTGACAGACTAATGGCTTACCGAAGTTTAATTTTTACTTGTAATCTGAGTTAATTTTGTTAATTGTATTTATATATGTTGCTTGAATGTTATTGGGGACTTAGCAATTGCTGGATTTAATATACCTTGTAGAAGATAATACTGATCTCTTACTATTCTCCTTTGTAGTTGTACATGGCTCCTTTCACACATCCTAGCAGATACAGTGAAAGCATTGACTTTTGGCGCAATGTTTATGGAATTGATAGTAAGTACATTACTTTGTAACTAGTTTTGCTTATTTACTGTCTTTGTGAATGAACTCTTCATAATGATTATAATTATAATATAATCTGCTTTTAGAAAATAGTTTGCACTGTCTTATTTGTCCTGCAACATGTTATTTGTTATAGCCAAACAGTTTCTCTGCAGCATTCCCTTTCTGAAATTTTTTGCCATGACAATGACATCATACCATTGAACTGTATTGATATCGTGGGAAAACGAGGCATATCATAATATTGATTTTGTGGCAGTGTCCGCTATGATGCCGTTAGCAAAACAGTGTGCATTTGAAGGACCTTCCGTGGAGACAATTACATGTGAAAATGTTTTGACATGGCCTCTTTTGGTGAGTCCAATAGTGTTACTGTCACTGTTTAAATTTTTTACTTCTGTTTGCAACTTTCAGATGCTGAGTGTATGCGCTTCCTAGGTTATACGTATATTTTTTCTCTTTTTGTGAGTTGTGATTTGGAATTCTGTGTTTGAAATGAGATCAAATGTTTGGTTTACTTAGTGCAGTATCCCATTTGAAGCGAGATGAATGTATGTTATTTTCTATACTCACATGCTTCATGTTTAGTTGGTGTGTTTGGTGTCCTATGTTGGCTTGCACACTAATTTGGGCCAAATTAGTTTAGTGATTCTTGTGGTAGTTACCTATGATTGTCTTATTTGTAGAAGTCTAGGTCATAATTTTATGTTTGTGTCTGTATATATGTCTGCAAGCTTGTGTCTCTATGTGTGGTGCTGTGGTATTTTAAGAAGTTGATCTTGTGTCTCTATGTCTCCATGTTAATAATCCAGTGTCATTTTTTAAGAAGTTGATCTTGTACCATTACAGGTGAAATATATCAACTGTTATTATATTACAATTCCTGAGCTAGAATCTATAACAGAAAGTTTTAAGTTCAAATCAATGATGCAAGGTAACTTTCTTATGTTTGTCTTTCCATTTCACTGATGTATTTACTTCTGAGTTTTGCTGCTAATTTATTTGTTTAGAGCTAAAGTCCTCCCTTCCCCTTGTTCAAATCAATGATGCTAACTTTCCCTCTTCCCCTTGCTTGCTAGTCTTAAATTCTGTGGGTCCAACCCAGAATCCCTTGTTTAATACTCAGCTCTGTAGCCTTCAAATAATTTTTTTGTTTTAGATTCTCTCATCCAATTTACTAAATAATTCTTCTCCAATTAATGATTTTTGCAATTTTTTTTGGTATTTACTGATATATATTTTCTGTTTTATACAGCGCCATTACATGGTTTTGCATTTTGGTTTGATGTTGAATTTACTGGGCCTATACTATCACCAATGCCAATCAATTTTCAGTTCTCATCTACATATGTTGACAACCATCCAGTGGATGATAATCAGAGAAAAAGACGGACAAATCCTAATGAAGAACTGCGCCTATCCACCTCGCCTGAAGACCCTCCAACACATTGGCATCAGGTGCAGTATATATTTTTAATCTCCAATTCCAATATGTAGTCCTAGTTTCATTGTTCAGAGATGTGTACATTGAAGTCTTGGGTCAGTGCTTATGTTAAGTATATTTGAAAACAAATGCATAAGATCTCTGAAACTGGTTGCCTTTTGCAAATAATGAGTAATGAGTTCTGCAGTTGAGTGTTACCTATAAGCTTGTGCCACACAATGTTAACAAGGGCTTCTAGCACCATGGTGTCTGGCACATTTTGTGACCCAAGGCAACATTGAAATGCAGCACACATTAAAATATACTTAACATATTTTATAAAAAAAATATACTGTATAATTTTAGAATAAATAATCAACTGACCATCCACTTCATTGGGAGGAGTAAATGATTTCAGCCATGATTTGGCATAATTCTAAAATAAACTATCTAGAAAAAAGGAAATGAAATTGGACCCTGAACTAGGTTGACATTTATTCCCTTCAATCTTCATTTTATTTGGGTTAGTAAGTTGACATTTATTATGGTTGTTTCACTGCTGGACTACTGGTATCCATTTTGAATGTCTATGACTCTATACCATCATGCTCAAAGTGGCATTTTTTTCTGTTTTTTTATTACTATTATTATTTTGGTCTCTTAATCTTATAATTGTATTTTGCAGACCTTGATATACTTATATGATCCAATAGAGCTGAAACAGGATCAACTTATTGAAGGATCAGTGACATTGTCACATAGCCAAAAAGATGGCCGGTTTATGAACATTCACCTTGAATATACGTGAGTCTGAACAGTTTCTTTCACCATTATGCACTTTTAGGGTCATTTGGTAATGTAAGTTTTTGGATTCTGATGATCTTCCCTGCCATTGCAGTTCAGGTGGTCGATCCTACGTGAAAGAGACTGTTATGAGATGATCATTATTACTGTGGGCAACTGACGAGCTTGTTAGCATATACAGTTGGGTCAACCAATTGATATTTTGTTGGTGTCTTTTCTAAAGCCTTTATTGTGGGAACTATGTATCATTGGAATTTTCTTGGGTTTTGTTAAACTATATATAGTTAAACTATTTTAGAACTAATTAAATATTCTGGGCAAGTGGACCTTTATGTTAAAAATTATAGCAACCCTTTTGCTGTTTTTTTCTTCTGTGTTGATAGATTTCTGTACATAGAACATGATGCAGGGTGTTGCATTTCATGCATGGGCAAGGTAAGCTGCGATGTGCCGGACTTAATGGTAACATGGGATCGTTACCCTTAAAATTCTAGGCCATCTCTAGATTGTTACCCTTTATCATGCATGATGAACTAAATATTTATGGATGAAATGATCTAGGAGATGATTGTGGTTTGATTGGCACATGCTTGACAAAATTCATAATTATTTAGTTACAAGGAAGATTCAAATCCGTAAGGGATAGAGAAAAGTACATTAAAGTAAGCAATTAGATTTATCAAAATCCAAACACCAAATTTAATATTTTTTAACGAAGCTGTAAATTATAAGATTATTGGCATAATTGAAATCTCTTTTTGTCCACACGATAGGCAATAAAAATCTTTTTTTTTTTTTAAATTGTGTGATATTAACAAATTCTGTGATGCCCCAAACTGGACTGTGCATGACATTATTGATATGAATGTTTCATTATTTGAGTTGAATGACATAATATTTCACTGAAACTTTTTGTAATTTATTCTTTTTCTCCTTCGATGATGTTTAAAAAATATTGAAGGAATAGTTAAGGAGATTTACTCTTTTCTTATCACAATCAAAGAAAAAAATGTAGACAGCAAGCATATCCTGTCGTGTACTTGTTCTTATCCTATTAAAAAAGAATTGTAATGTTGCTGCCGAAAGGGATTATAATTCTGATACGATTAAGGACATGATTGATTTTAAATCAACACCATGGATTACTTAAATCACGAGCTTCAGCATCCAGAAGATGAGTTTCTAGGTCCAAGCAGAGAAAAGGCCATCTCATGATTATTATTATTATTGTTCAGTTGGCTCTGCCAAATGGGACAAAATTATTAGTTAAGTATGATGGCCTACCACGACACGAGTTAAAAGTGGTACCATTCACTAAGTGCTTGTTTGGATCCTCTTATTGTGCTTGTTTGTATCCTCTTATTTTTAAGCTAGAAGCTACTTATAAGCATAAGTTAGGCCAAACAGGTTTTGGAAAAAGCTCTTATAACGAAAAACTCTTTTTTTTATAACGAAGAAAAAGCTGAAAATTAAAAGCTCCTCCTAGGAGCTTTTTTTTAAGCTCTTATCTGTTTTTCTTGAATTGTGTGCTTTTTTTTTAAATGAAGAGTGATAAAGATAGAAAAAAAGACAATTTTCTTGAAATATGTGCTTTTAAGTAATTTTTAAGCTAAATTTTTTTTGTAATTTCCAAACAGCTTTTAGCTTCTTTTTTTAAGCTCTTTATTTGCGCTTTATCTTATAAGTAGCTTCTAGCTTAAAAATAAGAGGATCCAAACAGGCTCGTACAATACGGACGAAATGGCAAATTTTGATCATTTTAAGCTTCCTGTGCTTTTCGATCATTCCCTTGATGTGTACATTCAGGTCTCTTGTATCATACCTTGTATATTATTAACTGCTTTAACATGAGGTAGATCTTTTGTTTGAAACATGGTACGTACCTAGGCACGAGTTATAATATCATTTTTTTTCTTCAACAATGCATGTTATCTAAGGAGAAGTTATCTTCTCTAAAACTTTTTTTTTTTTATCAAATGAAGGTGAAATTAATTCTATATTTGCAGATTATTTATAAAAAAAATGTTAATTAAGTGTCGATACAATACAAATATGACCTCTATTGTCACCCCTACACACAATGATAATAATTTAAAAGCTTGCTTTGTGAGGTGCTATTACTAGGGAATGATGAAAGATATATCTAGTATTCAAGAAGTACATATACTACAAAATGTTTGTTGTGTTGGTATTTAATTCGTACATCGTAGCGAATACTTCTTCAATACTTTGGGATAATTCTTGTCTATATTTGCCAACTATTTTTTGATATTTTATAATAATACAAATAAAATACCATAATTATTAGATAAATGGTAGTATTTTACTGAATCAAAAAAATATTAAAAGTAACTTATTAAATATGAATATTTTTGTTCTAATTTAATATTTGTGGTTTTATGTTAATCTTATGTTAATTCGTGCCACAAATTTGTATCCGTGTTTCATATATAGTATAAGTGCATATTTTATTTGATCATATTTTTTACTGAGAGTTTTGGGTTTTTTTGGGCTTGGGCCATCAAAGTCCTAATATTTATGTAATGAATTCTAAGCGTCGTTAAGAGTTTAGGTGAAATAATTGTCTGAAAGAAGATGAGTGGTTAGAATCCTGAGCTATATAGAACGTTATGCTTTTTATTTAACAATATACGTGTATGTCATCAAATCTACTACACGTAAGGGGAGCAATAATTATCACATGGAAACTGCGTAATATATGAATATCAATTGTCAAGTGTTGGAACTCTGATTTGGCTCCATATATGCATGCCACTAGAATTCTTTGATTAATCTTTATACTCATATATATATATATATATATATATATATATATATATATATATATATATATATATGGGGTTTGATTTTCTCATGTTAAATGAGAATTCAATTCTCATGTTATAGAGATAAAAAGCATGTGGGACCCAAGTGTTAGAAAAAATTATATGTAAGACCCATGTCAGCACGGAAATCGAATGATGTGTAGGAAAATTTGAATTCTCGTGTTAAATGAAAATTATAAAACCCTATATATATATATGTGTGTTCTTTTTCTATTCTGATATTCGTGATATCAGATCCTTTTATTGTGGATAATAATCTCTCCTAATTAGATTTCCGTCGTTGCTGCCAAATTGAAGTTCAATATACATATCAATAGTTGTTGAACTAAAAGCTAATAATCTAGTTTGTGAATATTGTGACACTTCTTCAAAGCGCGAATCTAGTAAAGATTCATGTGTTTTTAATGGACTCATTTGCTTAGGAATAGAAAGAATTCAGACCTTGATGAGAAGAGAAACAAGAACTACGATAATTAAATTGATAATGGCTATAGTTTGATTTTATTAAAATTTGCTAGTTGTGAGTTGGTGGAGGAAGATACATAAAAGACGAAGCATTATCACAGGCATGCGAGCACTCAAAATATATATATTGGGACCATACTAATTCAAATTATCTGATATAAAACAATAACTAGCTAGATACAAGAATATGTGATTCATTTGTAGTGACTTTTATTTCATGATAGGGAAGAAAGTTAATAATGATTCATTTTATAATGGTTTTATGTCCACTGAAACCTATTATTCCCTCTAATAAAGCCAACAAAAAATACCACATTATCTTTTTCGACAATAATCTCCAGAGATTTTGGATAACGACAGTTTATCAGAATAAACGAATTATTAAGCGGTTCAAATGTTCTATGAACTGCTTTTGGTTTGCTGAGTTCGTTTTTACTTTTACTTTTTTTCTTTTTTTTTCCCCTCTCCTGAAACAAGAGTAGAGATCCTTCATTGCAAGACTTTTTGAAGATAGAAGCATGAATCCAACGTAAGTTTTAGCTATCTATATCTAAATTAAAACCACAAACAAAGCCTGTAAACAAGCAGAAAATAATTATGAAATTGTTAAAAAAAATTCTAATGCAAAATACATATTTAACATCAATTTTTAAAAATTGACCTACTTAAACTTTTAGCTCGTGATAAATAGCTTATTCCGTGCATTTAGATATGAGGGACAAGGAAATGGGGGCACAAAAAGAGAATAATTATTCCTAGTTCTATTAGAATATAAGTGCAACTTTTAGGTGGTAATAATGGCTCAATTATTTAGAAGTCGTGCATGTCCTTACTCATTTCCAAAGCTCTAATTTTATATTATGTTTGTGGCAACCCCACTATTCCCTCATATTTATCAATTATATCTTTCATGGTTGGTCTTGTCGTATTAATCAGCATTAGCAAAATTGAATATCCTTCGTATCTTGTCCCACTTGCCCCTTCTCACACTCTATGTGCTTCTCTTCATTGTTTACTTATCTCATTATACCAAATTTTTATGACATTTTAATTGGGTGTGTCATCCATATCGGGTTGCATTTCATAGTTTTAAGCTTAAATGTTACACATGAATGACAACAACCATTGAAATTCAATCCCATCTCTTGTTTTAAACAAAATCTTTTCAAAAAGATGAAATATAGCTTCAGTAAAATTTCAACTTATTTCTGATGTGGTTTACTCTATGCTTCATTAATCCTAACCCATTTACCAGTGAAAAGAAAAAAAAAGGAAGAGAAAGTTTTGCCCGAAACCTAGATTTCCTTTCTTTGTAATCAATATATTAGCTGCCAAATACTGTGGATGAGCTCAGCCGCCATTTGAGATTTTTTTTTTAATTGTGCAAAAAGAAACAGTTTACTTTTAAACTAACAATCCACTAAATTATTGAAAAAGGTGATGTGAACTTTAATACATTTTTAGCCTATGGTTTATCAAGGAATCGCGTTAAATGCATGGTTTGGCAAGAAAAGCAACATCACTTTTCAACCAACATATATATAATGTAAAGTAACTAGTCAATACCTTACAGATAGCGAAGGAATTATAGAAACAAGAAAGTCCAGACAAGCTCTTGCTAGTAAATGCAAGAATTGCATTTGAAATTTCCCCCATGTCCAGCAATGATGAACTCACTATTCATGATGTATCCCTTTTAATTTTCCTCTTTTAATTATTAATCGAAATATGTAATGTTTTTTGTATAAATACTTTTTCATTATATTTATCAATTTAGCCCAACTTATAACATAAGAGCCATCATGATTTCAAGAGATTCATTGCTTAATTGATTAAATATTTATGAGTCAATAGATGATAAGGGAGTTTAGGAGTTTAAACCATTAAAGTCTGAGAAGATAAATTAACCTATGTTGTTGTCGTCTTTCTACCTTTTGTCCCACGATTCCACTGAAACACTTTCTCTCAGTGTTGGGCTCTGATGGATTACAATAACAAAGGTCTTGGAAACTGAAAATGCACAGTTACATGTTCCCCTGAATGACCATGATTGTGCTTGTGCTGATCTAAAGCTCACTCAAACATGTTGTTCAATTATTGTATCGTATGTATATATGGACATGCACATACATATGATTGTAGAACAAATGTAACTTTAGTCTTCTCTATGTCTGGTATATATAAAAAAAAATTCACCCGACTAGCGAGTATGGGATAAAGGAAATCTTTATATACAACTTTATCCTTGCATAATTACAAAGAAGCTGTTTTCTGGATTCGAATTCATGAGCAAGTATGGGATAAAGACGATCGTTATATGCAATTTTATCCTTACATAATTACAAAGAAACTGTTTTCTGAATTCGAATTCATGAACTTTCAGCTATAAAAGAATAATTTTACTGCTCTGATTCGCCCCCTTTTTTTGTGTATGGTATATATATCAAAATAATGTCCTATGTCCAACTGCCCTTCACATCACGCGTGCGTGCCTTTAACCACAGCAACATCACCAATATTTGCTGGAATCATATTATTACGTGCTGTAGAGAGATTATGTATCCAAAGGAATAATTTTTATGGAACTAAAGGTTAATTCAAAGATCATCACTTTTGCTAATGCCTGATATGGCCATATAGGTGGGTGAGTCCTTCATATTCCATCTTTTTCTTTAATGTTGTATTGTACCCAAAGCCCATTGAAAGATTCCCATTAAAAAGGCTAACACTATGCAATCAATATTCCATAATATTCTCATTAAAAACTCAAAGTCTTTCTTTCACTTTTGAAGCTTCACGCTACTCAAGGAACCTATTGGATTAGGGACTTCCTATTTCAAAGGTCAGATTGTAAACGTGCAAAGCTGGCGCATGCATATCCTAGTCAATAAACAATTAAGTTCCTCCAATTCCCTCTTAGTAATAAGTGTAAATAAAGTAAGAGACCAAAACAAGGGAAACGAATAGTGTGTTATTGCATGAGTGCCTACAAAAAAGATGCAAACGGACTACAGTGTCCAACAAATAAATTGATACGCGGAATCCACATTTTTTTATACTTTATGAAAATCAGTGATATAAAAGCCTGTATACCAAAACTAATAATTCCTATGTCTTCTTATGTATATCAAATCACCTCCAACCAACATAGTTTCACATTCTTGTACTGTTAACGCAATTAAAAAAGCACAGTACACTGTAAACCAACTAAATTTATTAGTTATGGATAATTTGTACTAGAAATGAAGAAGCTGGTATAGACATTTTACAGAGTTCTACTTATGTGGCTTGTATTACGGGTTTTTACAGGATAATTTAATAATATAACTTTGTTTTTCCTTTTGCCAATAGATTGAATAACAGTATCTTTTAGGAAACTCAATTTCCATTTCATCAGAAATACTTACTTGGAGGTTTCTTTTCTGAAAAGAATCTATATTAAAGTTGCTTTCTTGATAAATGTCTGGAGATCATAGAGAAGAATATTAAGAAAAGAGGAGTTAATCTCAATGTTTTTCTCTGTAATATGTATAGCTAATTTTGCGAATGAATAATACATTCAACTCTGCCTTTTGTTTCTTCCTTTTTACTGATCTAACTAGGAAATTTCTTGCAACTTTATGGCATCTAATCAAATACGATCAATAACAAGTGTCAGTCTCCTCCATTATTTTCTTCCCCACAAAACAGTATTACTATTCTCCTTTCTCTTCCTATTAAACAGATCATATTGGCATGACCAAAAGTCACACAATAACTGGTCCCACCTTCTTCCCCTCCAAGGGGCCTCCCTTTTTCTTTAAAACCATGCTAAAAGTTAATTTTAATTTTATTACTACACACCATGGAGTCGATGAAAGACAACATTGAAATAAAAGTAAAAATGAGGTGCAAATTAACATTCATTTGGCCATTGAGCATTTCTAATATACACTATGTCTAAGTAGACAGCAGGTGAAAGAAGAAAGTAGATAAAGACAAAACATGCACAATCAATGTACAAAAACCAATAGTTAATGAGCATGATTTACAACATCAAATCTCTTAAAAAATTTATGTGCAACCACCTACCTTTCCATCTTGCTGGAAAACACCACAACTCAATCTACCCTTTGGTGGAAATATCATCACCACTCTTGAGTCCACAAAAAGATTTAGGAGCCTTTCCACTCGCCCTCTCAAAGTTAAATTATTCCAAACGCTAAACTACGAAAACAGAAACTTCACACCATTCAATTATTTCCACAGTACCCTCAAGTATGAACCTTTTTCCTTCCACAGTTCTACACATTCCCAAAACCCAACCAAATAAATTCCTCCTCACCCCACCCTCCATCTAATCCCAATTGAAAACCCCAGTTGCCAAGCCTAACCCACACACACCAACAACCATGTCATCCACAAAGTTTGTGCCACTACAAGCCACCATTGTCATGGTGCTGCTGCTTATGTTGATCCTTCTCACCACTTCCACTTCCACTTCCACTCCAACTTCATCACCATCCCACAAACTTTCATACCCTCATTTCCAGCAGCTGAACGTGAAAAAAGCCATTGCAGAAACGAAACTGAAGCATAAGCCAACCCAGATACCCAAACAACCCCAACACTCGGATGAACAACAAAAAGCCAACACTGAGAGTGAAGGATCGGGAAAATGGAAACTGAAGCTGCTTCACAGAGATAAAATCACCACCTTTAAGACTTTCCACGATCATCGCAGCCGTTTCAATGCACGAATGAAGAGAGATGCCAAAAGGGTCTCCGACCTCATCCGCCGCCTCACCGCCGGGGGCGCCGGAGCAACCAGCTACGAGGCAGAGGCATTCGGGTCAGATGTGGTTTCGGGTATGGAGCAAGGGAGTGGAGAGTATTTTGTCAGAATAGGTGTTGGTAGCCCCCCAAGAAACCAATTCGTGGTTATTGACTCGGGTAGTGACATTATATGGGTCCAATGTCAACCCTGTACCCAATGTTACCGCCAATCCGACCCGGTTTTCAACCCGGCAGATTCCACATCTTACGCCGGCGTTTCTTGTGGCTCCACCGTCTGCAGCCGCCTGGAGAATGCTGGCTGCCATGAGGGGAGGTGCCGTTATGAGGTTTCTTATGGGGATGGGTCCTACACCAAAGGGACACTTGCCCTTGAGACACTTACATTCGGGCGAACCGTGATCCGAAACGTGGCAATCGGGTGCGGGCATCGGAACCAGGGCATGTTTGTCGGAGCAGCCGGGTTGTTGGGCCTTGGAGGTGGGTCCATGTCTTTTGTTGGCCAATTGGGTGGCCAAACTGGTGGTGCATTTAGTTATTGTTTAGTGAGTCGGGGCACCGAATCATCCGGGTCACTTGAATTCGGACGAGAAGCAATGCCCGTGGGCGCTGCATGGGTTCCTCTGATCCATAACCCAGGGGCCCCGAGTTTTTACTATGTCGGGCTTTCGGGTCTTGGAGTTGGGGGCATAAGGGTACCCATACCCGAAGATGTTTTTAGGCTAACCGAATTGGGTGGTGGAGGGGTTGTTATGGATACCGGCACCGCCGTGACAAGGCTTCCCACGGTGGCTTATGATGCATTCCGGGATGCTTTTATTGCCCAAACCACAAACCTGCCCCGAGCATCCGGAGTATCCATTTTTGACACCTGCTATGACTTATTCGGGTTTGTGACGGTTCGGGTCCCAACCGCATCCTTCTATTTCTCGGGTGGGCCTATCCTGACCCTACCTGCTACAAACTTTTTAATCCCAGTGGATGATGCGGGGACTTTCTGCTTTGCATTTGCTCCTTCTCCTTCGGGGCTTTCCATTATTGGGAACATCCAGCAAGAAGGGATTGAAATTTCAGTTGATGGAGCTAATGGGTTTGTGGGATTTGGACCCAATGTTTGTTAAGTGTTATTAAGCAAGCATGTATATGAACCATCTGAATTTTGCTAGTGTTAGTATAGTAACGTCACATATTGTATTATATATATTTACATATAAGACGCATGTGGTCATTAACTATTGTATTTATAAGCTAGCCTTTTATTAGGTGCTAAAAGTATGTGTAAAAGCAATTATTGTGGAACCGGAAGTTATAACGTTATTGTGCAAAAGTGATGCACACAAAGTATCTACTTAAGCTAAAGAAGGAATATATGTATGTATATATATAATGGGCAGTCAAACATTCCTCGGGTAACCTTCGCCATAGTCAAAAGAATCATAGAAAAGGTCATTTGCCCCATTGGGTACTAAGAGTAATCTTTATATAGCACAGCTAGTGAGGAGGATCCAAGAGAACCCTTTTAATCAATTTGAAGAGTAGAAATGATTCATTCTCTCTACTAATGACTAGACATTAGCCCTTGCAACTTTTTTTTTTTTTTTCCTTTATTTCTCTTTTCTTTCACATATACAGATTCCTCTCTCTCTCACTCTGTGTATGTGAAAGCTGCTACAGAAATTGAATCATGAGGGAAAGGGAGCCACCACCATTGTGGACATGTGAAATCATCACTGGGGGGCTCTGCTCTAACTTTTGTTGGGACCTCAAGTTGGAGTGTATTCAAGCAATGACTTTTACAAAGGCAACCCCTTTGCTTTTCCTCTTTTTGAGATATCTAAGATTAAGAAAAATCACTGCTTATCCTCTTTCTTTTTCTTAATGAGGTTGATTTTTAGCAGGGAACATAAATACTTACATGTCCCGTTCACATGTATGTGATGTGCATGGAATGTATGTTGTAATTTGAGCGGTGAAAATGATATGCTTTTTCGTCCGTTACTATGGCTTTGTGCACTTTATAGGCCCACCAAAAAGTAGGACTTTGTTGGTGAAAAATGGTGAAAGGAAGAGAATCAAGCAATGTTTCTTTTGATCAGAAATTAAGATCATATAGGATATACTCTTGCGATTTTATCACTGGGTTTGTGGAAACTATACGCAATTTTCTGAACACCGCATCTGAAAAAGAACTTGGACAAAATCATCATTTTTCAATACTCTCCTTGTCATTTCGTCAATGCCTGTCTCAAACCTTCACTATATTCAACGGACCGATTACTCAATAAACCTATAATCGTTGGCCTTCTTCCCGTACTAATTCGGTTTATTAAAAACATTTACATTTTAATGCGATTTTTAAATTATGTATCAAAGTAATGCAGTCCCGCACTAAAATCATATTGGTTAAGGGTGTACAAGATAAACATTACGTTCTCTGGCATTATTTCTGGAAAAAAAATAATAATTCTTTTCTATTTTTGTGTCTTGTCATAGTTTCTTAGTAGAAAAAATATGTTTGATAGCATGTTCTATTTTTATTCTGAAAATGAGAATTGCTTTTGATAACACAACAAATAAATGAATAAAAAACCATTCCTATTAAGTATAAAAAAATTTTGAATCATCACTTTCCTTTTCATATGGTGTGGTGGTGGTGGTTATGGCATAGTGGTGGTGGTGGTGGAGGCGGAGGTGGTGGTAATGGTGGCGATAGTGATGGTAGTGGTGGTTGTAGCATGGTGATAACGACAATGGTTGCGGCAATGTTAGTGACGGTAGTGGTAGTGATGATGTTGGTGGTGGTGGTACGACTACGACGACAACGATGGTGGTGGTGGTGGTCGTGTTGGGATGGTAGTGGTCATGGTAGTTAAAATCTGAATTTAAATGTTAAAATCTGAATTTAAATCTTAAAATCCCGATTTTAATGATTTATTTTTGCTAAAATGATTTAAATTTCACTTAAAATCGTTTCCAATATAAAATCCCGATTTAGACATTTACTTAAGTCCCGATTTTAAGATTTAAATCCTGATTTTAACTATTGGAATGATGTTAAGCAAGTTGAAAAAACTGTTGAATATAACATTATTAATGTTTCATCCGAAGATGAATGGATTATGGAAAACGAAAGAACTTTATCTCATGATGAAAGTTTAGATGAAGACAATTTTGAATGATTTAGTTAAAGATCACGTGGAACAGAATGTCTTCGATGATAATAACTTGAATGATTTATTAGCTTAGACCCTTAGAGTGTGACAATTGTATGCAAATGAATAAGGATGGTGGCAGGTAGTCTATTTTTCTTAAAAAAATTTATACATAAGCATATGTATATAAAAATTTAATTTTAGACTGCAAGTAAAATCTACGATCTGTATTACGATTTTACGATTTTTTATTTCCTTTCCGATTTTAGGTAAAATCCCGATTTTGACTACTTTGGTAGTAATGGTGGTGATGGTAATAATGGAGAGTGATCGAGAGAGACAAGTATTTCTCATATTGTGTGCACGGAACAAAAAAAGTAGAAATTTTTTTATTCTTTTTTCTATTACCCAACACAGAATTGAACCAGTTCATTACCAGGAACAAAAAAAATAAATTGATTTTGTCAAATACTGTTTTTATCTATTTCTGTTTTCTGAAAACAAAAATTGAAAAAAAAAAAAACTAATTTTAGAAAAGTTGTCATATATATTCTAAATCTCGCACATACCCCGTCACCATTTTTGTCTCTCTCTGAATTTTCCCTCTCAACAATTTGTTTTTTCTTTTCACCTTCTCTGTTTAGGAGTTCTATTTCGAATAAATTATTCATTAACTTATTTATTTAAATTATTTTATTTTATCATTTAAATGATATGAGAGTAAGTATTATAGTTAGGTTTACATAGTGTAAATTATGTAATGACATTAAAGTAGTTTAAGTTGTTTTTCGGGTAATGATATTAAGTTATTACATAATATAGTATTAACAATGATTATATTTAAGTTCTATAGTGACATTAATTAAGATAATAAATAATATAGCGATATTAAGTTAGACATTTAAATTTAAAAAAATAATTATTTTTATGATCTAAAAAATAATTTATATAGTGATTATTTAATGAATATTATTTATTTTATCTATTATATGATGGTAAATGGTTAATCTGTAATGAAAATTTAAATCGTTAAAGTGTGAAATGAATTATGTTAAAAAATTGTAAAAATTTACATATCATGCACTTATAAGGACATTAATGTAGGTACCCTTGTGCAAGAGCTCTTCAAACTCGTGCATATTTTCTGCTTCTCAAATGGGGATCCTTGTTGTACGACAATTCCTCCAACATGGTCGCTTGTTGCTATATTAATTTACTGGGAGAAAATTTTGAGTAGACTTCCACATATATTTGGGGTTCGACAGTTTTTGCCACCTTATTCACGAAACTATGTCAGGCAACCGCCTTCATAGTGAAGGACGTGGGTGGTTGCTCCACCCGCTTTTGCAATTATGGGCTTGGAGTCGATTCCCCCTATCTCACCGGGCATGCCACTCCCCAGCCAGATGATCACTTTGGACGAGGTATGGTGATATTAGATTATATTTTCTGTGTTATTTGTTGGTTTATAGTTCATTTATTGTTCATGGTATTTGGTTAATTTTGATGTTTTGGTTCAGTTTAATCAGTTGCCAGCTCGTATCCTCTGTCACTATCAGTTGACCTTTGACCAAATGGGACGAGATGATGTAAGTATAATAGACATCAAATTGGAATTCTATTTTTGTATTACTCCTTCAAGGTAGCGACACTGACTAAAGTGCAACGTTTGTACAAAAAAATGATGAGACTGTCACGTCAATAGTAAATTTTGCTAAAATATCACGCGGCATAATTCGTTACATAGTGTAGCGAATTATGCATGCAAGTAATTTGCTACACAATGTAGCGAAATATGTCACGTCAGAACCAAAAATGCCACATGTCAAATTTTTTTGTCCAAACGTGGCACAATGGTCACTGTTCCTTCAAGGTATGATTACCTTTTAGGATTATATTACTCTCATGTAATGGGAGATATATTATCTCATATTGTAGATATAATTATATACTGGATCCCATTATTTGTTAAAAGAGAATCACAAAAATCGATGGGTTTGTAGGAAGTTATATTATCTCATGCAACATGAAAGTAATATATCCCTACCTTTTATTACCTTTGCAGATTGTGCGGCAGCCTTAAAGGGCTATCATTTTCCTTATGCATATATGGTGTTATCCTACGATGCACTGATACTGACACGGGACATGGGCCACAACACGACACGACACGCTGATACGTTAATTCTAAAAAATATCATATTTCGACACGTTGGAGCACGTTTTGATATTAAATAATATTTTTAATATATATACTATAATTTATATTTAGGGTTCGCTTTTTTGCAATTATTGCAGATAATTTATCTGCAGTAAGCACAATACGACGTCTTTTTGGGGAAGAAATCATAGTGTTTTTGTAATTTTATTTTATTTCAGGGTTATAATAGTCTTTATATTTATAATTTTTTAAGATTTCAATATCAAAACGACGTCGTTTTGGGAATAAATGCAGATAACTTATATGCAGTAAATGCAGAAACATTTTTCCCTTATATTTAATGGCTTTAATGTAGGGGTGTTCATCAACCGATCCAAACCGATTCAAACCGCGAAAACCGAACCGAAAAACCGATAACCGAATAAACCGAAAACCGAAAAATTGAAAACCGAAAAAAACCGTAAATTTTAATTGGATTGGATCGGTTTTCGGATGGGTTGATGAAAACCGATCTAATCCAAACCGATCCAATATATTAATTATCCTCTACCTACTTGTCTTTTCTCCAATCATAGCCCAAAAATTTCTAAACTCAAAACTCATTAACTAAACCAAAGAAAAAACTTAGTCACGTCTTATCAACTATAGTATTGTTTACTGACAAAGCCAATATATACAAAAGATCTTATTTGCACAATAATCATGAAACTAATTTTAGGATATTCAAAAAACTGAAAACCGATCCAATCCAAACCAAAAAAAATTGGGAAAACTCGGGCTCTCAAACGAACTCGGGCTCTGATACCACTGTTGGGAAAACTCAGTTCCCTCAAGCTCGGCTCAGGGGCCTTTGTGCGGAAGTCAATCAACAAGATCCTGATCTCGGATCTCGACAATACCTCAGCCTGAACTTCACCAGGTCAGGCAACGCAGCGGA